GGGAATTTGCTTTCAGGGTGTCCCGCTCCCTATGGTATCATTTTTCATTCCGTACCGCCCTGGATCAAGTGCGTGGGGTAAGGTGAGCCTACATGGCGGGCGTCTTGGGCTGTGGAGCTACGGACAGCTTCGCACCCTGCTTCCGTGGATGGCCAAGCCGAACCTTCTCTCTCCTCCTTCATAGCGCTGGTCGGCTTTAAGCTGGGCAGCTGTAGCGTTCAGCCTCTTTCCTTCTCCTCCTCCTCCTCATCCTCTTCTTCTTCCTCTTCCTCCTCCTCCTCCTCCCATTCCTCCTGCGCATACTCCTGCTCATCCACCACTTCCTCCTCCTGCTCCTCCTCCTCCTCCGTATACAGCCTCCCTCTTCCGACTGAGAAAAATAAGAAAGGGTCATATCGCAGGATCCAAGTCAGGTATGACACCCGTCGCCAGATAGAGACAAGTCATCGCACTGGGAACGGATAGGCGGGACGGGTCGGATGTCAGATATGGCACGGGCAGACCCAGCTTGCCTCTCTCCTCTCTCTTCCTCCTCGTCTCCCCACCTCCTCCTTTCCCTTCTTCCTTCCCAATCAATACTCCATCTGTACACTACTCTCCTCTCCCCCGAAGATGGCCGGGGAGTAGCCCGCCATCCTCCTCGTACACTTCCTTGTATGTCAGCTGGGCTTCCACAAATGGTCTTCCCTATGCTTTCATTTCAGTGCAGCCCCCTTCGGTCCTTCAATACGGTGATGCCTTTGCAGCATGGGCTCACTTTAGAATCGGCGCTTTGGCGCCCGTTGTTCAGAAAAGCACTCTCGCCCCAGCGCGGGCCTGTTCTTCTGGATCCGCGTGTTTCCCCATCCTTGTCTCCCCCCTCCCTTCCCTCCTCCGCCTTTACCTGGGCGCCTCCAACTTCCTCATCCTCCCCCGCTTCCTCCTGCTCATCCGCCTGCCCATCCGGCACATCTTCCAATGTACGCAGCTCCCGATGACCGATGTTGCATAACACGCTAGGGGTCTGGTTTGGAATTCCGGACCCGCATGGCACGCGTCGGTGGATAGAGAAGATATCAGAGACATGCGAAAAGATGCGTGGTAAAGCGTCGGATGTCAGATGCGATCGAACCTTGCTTGTCCCGCCTCATATATACGTACCCTCCTCCGCTCCCTCCTCCTTCTCTTCCTCCTCCTCCTCCGCCCTCTCCTCTCCTCCGTCCCCCCTCTTCTGACGTTCTGCCGCTCGTCCCCCTCTCCTCATCCACCCCTCTCCTCCGGCCTCCTCTCTCCTCCTCTTTCTCCTGCCCTCTCTCCTCCTCCTCCTCCTCCTCCTCCTCCTCCTCCTCCTCTCATCAATCATCATCATCATCATCATCATCATCATCATCATCATCATCATCATCATCATCATCATCATCATCATCATCATCATCATCATCATCATCATCAGCATCAGCATCATCAGCATCAGCATCATCATCATCATCATCATCACCATCATCATCATCATCAGCATCAGCATCATCATCACATCATCATCATCAGCATCATCATCATCATCATCATCATCATCATCATCATCATCATCATCATCATCATCATCATCATCATCATCATCATCATCATCATCATCATCATCATCATCATCATCATCATCATCATCATCATCATCATCATCTCTCATGTTTCGTCCGCTCTCCCGTTTTCTCATCTCCCCTCCTCCTCCTCTTCATTCTCCTCCGCCTCCTCCTCCTTCCCCCCTCCTCCTCCTCCTCCTCCTCATCCTCCTCCTCCTCATCATAAGGCACCACTGGTTGCTCGATGCGGCCAGGCGCACGGGCTTCCCCCTTTGGCAGCTCAAGCTGCAGGTGGAACTGTATTGCGCGCCGCGGATCCTGTGCTTAGGCCCAGCTTCGTCGTGCCCCATTGTGGCGAAGCAGGCGATCTTGCCAGGCGATGGGTGGGCAACACCCTTCCTCAAGCTAATGCTCATCGAGCCCTTGGACCGTTTGCAGGCGCTCCACCGGACGGTGTCTCTGGCGGTGGTGGTGGACGACCTCATGCTCTATCGTGTCGGCGGGGTGGCGCGCGTGACGCGGGAGGTGGCGGATGCTGCCTTTCGCCTGGGCGGGCTCTTGCAGGAGGTGGACCTCAACGTGGCAGTGAAGAAGTCGAGGGCCTTGGCAAACGTGCCGTGTGCCCGTCAGGACCTCGAGCGTCGCCTTCGTCGTCCTCTGGGCGTGCAGGCTGTGAAGGGGGAGCGCAACCTCGGGGTCGACTTCGCCTGCGGCAAGCGCATCGTGCGCACGGTGAGGCAGGAGAAGCTGGTGCAAGCGGGGTTCCGCACCCGGCGCGTCAACATCCTGAAGGTGGGACGTGGCCGCAAGCTTGCGACCAGGAAGGTCGCGCGCTCGGGCCTGGAGGCGAGCGTGTCCTACGGCTTCAGCGTCACGGGCTGCGCCACGGGCGAGCTGGACAAGACGCGGTCGCTCGTCTTCTCCGCCATGGTGCCTTCCACTGCAGGGCGGTCTCGCACTCTCACCCTCATGTTGGCCAAGATGATGGATCCAATGTACCGGGCCACCGTGCTGCCTGTCATGGCGCTGTTGCGGGCCGTGTGGGAAGGTTGGCTGCCCCGGCATGTGATCGATTTCGGCATGATGCAGTGCGGTGCTTTCTCCTGGCCTCAGGTGCGTGGACCGTTCTCTGCGGTGCATATGACGTTGGAGAGAATCGGTTGGACTATCATCGACGCGGCCACGTGGCGCACGCACGAGGGCGAACTCCTGCAGGTGTTTGAGGTAAGCCCATGGCTGGTCAAGCGGCTGCTGTGGCGTGCGGTCGAGGCTTGGCAGTGGCAGCAGGTGGCCAAGAAGCCCGAGCTTGCCCACCTGCGTGACGGCGGTGTGCTCGAGCCGCTGGTTCGCATGACCTCTACAGGCGCCGTTAGCCGCAAGGGTGTATTCGGCGATCATGTGCAGGCGCAGGACGTGGAGGGCGGCGACGCTGCAGGGCCGCCGAGGGCCGGCGGTGACCTTCCTGGCGCTGCTGGGGAGCCTCCAAGGTCACCGAACGCTGTGGGGCCGGTGACCTTCCTGGCGCTGCCGAGGAGCCCCCAAGGTCACCGAGCGCCGGCGTGCCACGTGATGCTGCTGGCAGGGTTGTGCGGCTCACGCCCAAAGAGCGCGGCTACTTGGCATCGGTTGTCGCCGATGGGCAGTGGCCCCAGCAGCGGAAGCATTGCGCGGGGCTTGCGCAAGATGAGGACTGCTTGCTGTGCGGAGAGCCTGGCACGCTGCTGCACCGGCACTGCGACTGCACAGGACGGCCAGAGGAGTTGCGCCTGCCCGAGCGTATGCGGCTATTGCGGCAGCGTGCTGATGACCTTCCCGAGGTGCGTTGCCTCCTGGAGCGGGCGCTGTGGCCAGCGCCGAAAGGACTCGTGATGCCACCTCGGTCCGACGCGGTCTGCTGGTTCGGCAACGGTGACGGCGTGCTGCCATCTGGCGAGCTCTTCCTGGACGGTTCTGCCTTCGAGGGCGAGTACTCCCAGTTCACCAGCGTGGGCTGGGCCGTCATCGCGCTCCAATCCAACTGCGAGGTGTTCTCGACGGGCGTTTCGGGCATGATGACTGGCCCATTCATGGACATCAATGGCGGCGAGTTGAGCGCGCTCCTCGCTACGTTGCGCTACGCGGTGCCGCCCGTCACTGCCGCGGTCGACTCCAAGTTCGTGTTCCTGGGCCTCACGGTGGACAGTCGAGAGCGCACGTGCTCGTACGTGTACGCCTGGTCGCACCTTTGGAGGGAGGTGTGGCGGCTTGTCGACGAGTTCGGGGGCTTGTGCGCAGGGGGCCTGACGATCCGCTGGGTCAAGGCCCACTGCACGAGGCGCCAGATCCTCGACGGGGTCGTGTCCTACCGCGACTGGTACGGCAACAGGCTGGCGGACCAGGCTGCCAAGTCGGCGGCGGCCCATGCGAGGCTTCCTCACGCCAGCCGCATGAAGCTGCTCCAGAGCGAGAAGATGGTGGAGGGAGTGGCGATGTGGCTGTCCGCGGTGGGCTCGGCGGTGGGCGGCGCGGACACCACGCACCGCAAGGGCAAAGCCAATCGACCTGCGCCGCGCGCTGTGGCAGCTGCCCCTGCGGCGCCGCCGCTGCAGTGCCAGCTGCGCGGGCCCGCGGGCAAGCGGTGGTGCGCGGTGTGCCGCTGGGTAGAGAGGAAGTCGGCCTGCCCGGGCAGCATCGTGGCAGCGGCTCTCGACCTGAACGCTGCTCATCGCAGCGGCGGGCTCAGGCCTCACCGCCTTGCGAGGGTGCGGCCGCAGAACGAGCGGCAGATGGTGCGTGAGATGCCCGTCGTCGCCTGCCTCACCTGTGGCGCGCTGGGGTCGCGCCGTGCTTCGAGCTTCGCCCGCGAGTGTCTGGCTCCCTCGGCGAAGGCGACGGCGGCGCTCACCAAGTTGGCAGACGGGAAATCGCCGCACGGGGACGTGGCGATTGAGCTGGAGCTGCTGTGACCCGGTCCTGGTGGTGGTGTACGAGTGCGCGCACTCCCAGTACACCCTCGACGTTCGGCGCTGGGCGGCCGCCGCTGCCCGCGCGCCGAAGGCGCGGCCGCGGCCGCGCGCGGGGCGGAGAGACCCTTCGCCCTCAGCCGCGCGCTCTCTCCTCCTCCTCCTCCTCCTCCTCCTCCTCCTCCTCCTCCTCCTCCTCCTCCTCCTCCTCATCATCATCATCATCATCATCATCATCTCTCATGTTTCGTCCGCTCTCCCGTTTTCTCCTCTCCCCTCCTCCTCCTCCTCTTCATTCTCCTCCGCCTCCTCGTCCTTATCCCTCCTCCTCCGTGTCCTCTCTGTCCCAAATCCGACGACGACAACGAAGACGACGACGACGTCGTCGACGACGACAACGACAGCGCTGGCGGCGGAAGCAACGACAAGAGCGACGACGAAGACGACGACGATGACCAGCCCCGGAAGCGTGCATGCAAGCGGCGCGGTGCAGATCGGCCTGCCCCGCGTCCCGCACGCCGCGCATCAGGCTGGACGAGGCCTCCCGCTGCCAGTGGGTGCAAAGGGGGGCGGCCCACTGTTGCACTTAGGAGACAACTAATGGGAGGCCCTCGTCGGAAGGACTGGGAAAACTTAGGCCCACTGGGGGGGTGCTACGCCGGATTCGGCCTGGCATTGAGCGGCAATGCGCGGGATAGAACCGGATTGAGCCGGATTGAACAGGATTGAGCCGAGTGAAGGACCAGGGCAAAGACAGAATTTGACCTCCCAGGCGTTGCATCCGAATTGTAGTGTCCCTGGAGGTTCCCAGCATTGTTCTAGTATAGGGTGCCTTCAGGAACTCCGTCTGCGCACTCGAACCGAACTTCTGTTAGAATCCAATATTTCCACCAAGCTGGGCCCTGGCCCTGGCCTTGGGCCCACCAGGGGCGGTGGGTCACACACACACACACACACGCGCACACACACACACATACACACTTTGCACCATCAATCGGGGGCCCAGGGGCAAAAGCGGGTGGCAAGCAGAGCGCGGAGGGACCGGAGGAGGAGAGGACGGGGAGGCCCAGAAAAACCATGAGGGCGCCTGGCAAACATGCTTGACAGCGGCTGCCCATAGCAGCGGTCAAGGGTTACCAGGAGTGGTTTTGGCCCATGTGCCGGAGTAGGAGGGGCCCGACGAACTCTCCGAAACCCCATCCCCACTCGAACCAATATATCTGACCTCATTCTTTGTTTAGTACGGGGCCCCTGAAACTCCCCACCCTTTCCCCTAGGGCGAAAAGGAGAAGTCGTCAGATTTAGAAGCCAGAAATCCCGACCCGCCCACCATGCATACCGCGGCCGCCAAATTCCAAAGTCCACTGAGAATGCCCAAAAATCCCACCCTCCCGACCAGACCCGCCCACCCTGCATACCGCGGCCGCTAGATCCCTAGGTCCATCGAAAATTCACGAGACTCGCGCCCCTCCCGACCCGACAAGCCCATTCTGCATACCGCGGCCGCCAGGTCTCCAGGTCCACCGAGAAACCCCGAGACTCCCGCCCCAGTGAGCGTGACCGGCCATAACTGAGAACACATATCATCACATAGCATGGCGTGACAGGACGAGCATATCAACTCAATATGACGGTGAATGCCAAACCATCCTAACTCACCACGTCTTACCTTTACGCATGGGGACGCATGCTATAACATACGGCAACATTACGCAGCCAAACACGATCATGGTACCACACACCATGACAACACCTATCGTACAATCCCATGTCATGTCATACTATAGCATGCCAAAACACATCGCTAGACGCAGGCCAAGTCAGGCTACGGCAATTCATGGACTGAGAGAGCGCGGCATGCCACATATACAAGCAGCACGCACCAAAGCGAAACGTAGCATGACATAGCACAGCCTGGCAGGCCAAAGCAACACATACCACACCATCCCTCATAACACAACATAACATGGCATAGCAACTCTTTGTCATGACAGAAGGTGCATCATATGGTAGGACATCACAGTTCCGAACACTGCAGGCGAGCACTGATGGACTACTGCTTTCACAAAGGCAACGAATGCAATGCAACATTACAGCCAATTCCATGGTGGACAGGGATATCATGACAGGACACAGCATACCATAAGATACTGGACCGACGTCGACGTAACTGGCACACCGTATCATTGATGCGATACGACTGCAAACGCTACAGCAATATCCTCATTCAAAACGTTTCGAATAACCTGAATTGCGCATACCATGCCATAGTGAACATACTCCAGCGCCAGAAAGGATACCATACGATAACATAGTATACTGCCACAACACAACACGGCAATTCATCCCATGATAGGCCTGAGCACAGGAGTGGACCCTAACGTCATAAGCATCACCACTGGAATGCACCATCATACAATCATCGACCGTACCATCACATAGTCGAAAGCGTCGTGCGCGCTGAGGTCAGGATGCCCACAAGAACAAGTAATTAGGCGCAACCACGGTCGATCGGACGACTGGTCGAACGTGACAAACGTCACGACGTCACACCGGCAAATCGAGAAGTCAACAAAAAGTAATCAGCAACCGTGCCTATGGGCACGGAGTTGGCGTGTCCTCAGTCCTCTCCCTGATCCTCGAAGCCTCATACTTGATTCCTCAAGATTCTTTAAGGTGCCCGGGCCCAAAGTTGTCCAGGCTTGGAGCTACTCCCCGCCGTTCGTCGCGTGACTTTTTCCGGTCCCAAAAGGCCCCCTGGACGGGCCAAAAAAGCCTCTAGCGGTCCTCAAAACGGCCCGAAAGGCTCCGAAATGCCGAACGACCGTCCTAAGACGCACAAGATGACCCCAAGATGGCCCAACAAGCCCCCAAGACGGCCCAAGGGGCCTCCTAAGAAGGCCTCCCCAGGACGGCCCCGGTGGCCCCCAAAGGGGGCCCAATGCGGCCCACGAGGGCCCCAGTGCGGCCCAAGAGACGCTCAAGAAGGCGCGGGAGGGCCCAGAGACGGGTCCAAGAGAGGCCCCAGATGGGGAGCCCGAGCAGACATTTCGAGCTCTCGGCCTCGAAGGGGCCCCAACAAATTTTAATAGACACCCAGGAGGCCCCCGGGAGGCCCCCGAAGAGGCCCCCAAAAAGCTGCTCCCAAAATACCCCCAAACGAGCACAAGCAGATACAGCACCGGCCGACGTATGGCGCCCTGTCAACCACAGCACCCACGCCCAAGGAGGGCTGGCCACAGGACAAAAACAGGCGCAACAACCACCGACTAGATGATAAATCAAACGCGACAGGCGTCACAACGTCACAGTTACTGCCGTGAACAAAACAAAACCATTCGCGCGTAGAACGTATGCAACAGAAGCCGAGCGACGCCGTCATATCGAACGCGAAATGCGCGTCGAACCCACGCTGACCGCGGAAACAACAAGTAGCGGCTCCGACCGGTTCTACGACGTATCCAACGTGGCAGGTGCCATGACGTCACGTCCGGAACAAAACATAACAACGCGCAGAGTTGTGCATTACGCCAAGGCCAAAACCAAGCGAACGGAAGGAGGAACAAGATTGTACAGCGAACGTCAACCCGTGGCGTCTTTCCGAACCGACATCGTGACATAGTCGGCCGTACGTATACGACCACTCTTCGGGTGATAAAGGGTTTCGGGGCGGGCGGAGAAGAAAATCAACAGCTGGCGAGCGCGATAGGTGTTATGATGACGATGCAGGTGACGCGTCCTCGGGGTCGCGACGACGCGCGATGGCGGTGTTGCGCTGCGCAATAAAATCGTCATCGTCCCCGCTGTCGATCTCACTCGATCGATCCCACAATCGACATCCTGGCCGATCTTACTGCCAATGGGTCCAGCGATCGATCCCATCAGAAATCTCACACTGAATAGCGCTGAGGACGATAAGGGCAAACCACGCGTCACCTTAGGCGCCTTGCCCAGAGCATCGAACAACCGCTGGCCGGACATGGCGCAACTTGGGGCGAACTCCAGGATACCCGCTTTAGGGCCACCAGAACACTGGAAACGCTGCCCCAACCTGCGCGAGCCGCCGTACTCAGCATCGCTGGCAGAGCCTGGCGGTAGACCGCTGGCAGAGCCTGGCGGCGAGAGAGCACTGCCGGAGAGGCGCGAGCCACACGCGCCACTCGCAGACGTAACGAAGACGCGGACGAAAGAATCGTGCCCCTGGCCTGCGTGGGCCACACAATTGCGGAAACAATGGTCGCTGTAGCCGCGATGCTGGTCGAACTGGCCGTGGTGGTTGCAATGCGATGAACCGTGATCACACAGAGCACCAAGACAGCTCACCGAACCGATCACACAGTCGATGGCGAGTCGATCTCACTACCGACCTCACTCTCGATGCCTGCATCGATCCCACAGGATCGATCACACTCGGTCGATGAGACCCGATCTCGCAATCGACCTCACCATATAGCTCACTATACTTCCCGCTGTCGATATCACTGTCGATATTGCGATCGACTCCTCTACCAATGGCATTATCGATCCAACTTTCAATATCACAGCCAATGTCACAATCCACCTGGCTGCCGATATGACTGTTGATCTCACTATCCATTCTATTCTAGCGTTCTCATTCTCGATATCACCCAATGCGGGACACCCCCGGCCACCGTCCGCCCACCGTCGACGGAACACCGACGGTACACTACACGACACCACGGCGGGACACCCCGGGCCACCGCGCGCCCACCGGGGGCGGAGGGGCGGTCCACTGCATTCGAATCGCCCTAGCGACGGCGGGGTCACTCCTCTCGTGCGCCCACGCAGCTTCGCCTCGCCCGCACGAACGACACGAAGACGAAACCGAAACTGATTTCCTGGTGGGGGTCTCTCCGTTCCACTGAGATCTCGCCTACCAAACTCCGACCATAAAGCAATCAAACGCGACGTACGCGCCGAGGTCACGCTGGCCACAACTAAACAGGCGCAACAACAACCGATGGGACGACGCATCTACGTGACAGGCGTCACGACGTCACGCTGGCCTGGCGAGAACACAAAATAACATAATACAGTAAGACGTACTAGGGCAGGAAAGAACATAACACTGTTGAGCACTGCCCTGCCGACCGCAGCATCCACGCCGGCGTAAGTCTGGCCACAGGACAGAAACAGGCGAAACGACAGATCAAACGAGATAGCAACGACCCGGCCTGGCCGTGGCGCTGGCCGAGACCAACCGGCCCTGCGCACATCGTTCCAGCAGGCGCGCGCACCATCGGAAACAAGAACCGAAGGTATCGGTGGGGATCACCCGTGACAATATAATTCATCATGAACTGTTGCTGGACGCGCCTGGAGACTGGTGAGAGCCCCCGAAGCCGAAAACAGTGAAGCCCCTCTGGTCTTGACTTTCGCCCATGCCTTGGAGGACTGGGCGCGAACCTTGATCCTCTTGGGATGGCATGGATGGACCCCGGTGTTCCCCTTGAACCTTTGATCCTCCTCGATCATCCTTTGGGATCCTCGATCTCGATCCTCGAACTCGTGTCAACATTCGGGCCACAACTCTGGCCGCAGGCGGCTGTTCGGGAAGAGTTGCCCCACCACCACCCGACACACCTCGACGTGGCACAGCTGAGGCAAAGCACTTTGGGGCCCGAAAACATCAGAAGACGTGGGCCAAGAAAGAAAGGTTAGCGCAACATTGCCCGAAATATAAACACGGAGCAAGTGTGTGTGCGGGTATGTGTGTGTGCGTGTGTGTGTGTGTGTTTGTGTGTTTGTGGGGGGGGCAGGGAACGCTTTGAGAGAGGAAGAGGGGGTCATGATATCTGGGAGATTTCAGGGTCCCCTCTCGACCCTCCTCCGGGAGCCTCGAGCCTCCCTCCTCGACCCTCTGTAGGGGCTGAAGGTCGGGCCGTGCTATGCGGGGCGTGGGCAACAAAAGGGGAGGGGAATGAGGGGGGGGGAGCCTCGAGCCTCCATCCTCGACCCTCTCCGAGGGGCGGGGGCAGTGAGGGCGGAGAAGAAAGGTGCACACATCGTGCACCTTCCGGGCCACAGAGGAGGCCCTTTTTGGGGGCCCCTCCCTGCAACCCTCGACCCCCCCAAGATGCATCCAGAGAAAGGAGAAACTGCGGGACGCTCGCCTCTTGCAGACCCGTGCAAGATTTATGGGATCGGCGCTCAACCCCCTCCACTGGCGCGCGGAGCGCGCCAAGGGAGGCTCCGGAGGCGCCGCCAGAAGGCCTCAGCGCCGCGCCAAGAGAGTGGATGCTTATGTCGCTTGCTTTACCCTCGACCCCCAGCCACCTCATGAGTCGACTGCCCATTACGAAACGACCGGAAGGGGAGGGGGGTCTGGGGGGGCGGAACCTCGACCCTCGACGCTCGACCCTCCATCTTCAACCCTCCTCGATCCAACTCGACCCTCCTCGACCCTCCTCGACCCCCCTCGGCACTCCTCGACGCTCGCTGGGTGCCATGAGAGAGGAGAGGATAATCGAGGAGCAGGAGGAGGAGGACGAAGAGCAGGAGAAATATCGCGGAGGAGGAAGAGAGGAGAAGGAGGATGGGAGGCGGAGGAGGAAGAGGAGGAGGAGGAGGAGGAGGAAATGGAAAAAAGGCGTAGGATGGAGGCGGAAAGGACGAGGAGGAATCGGGGATCGAGGAGGAGGGAGAAAATGATCTAGAAAGAAAATGAAGGTGGAGAGGCGAAGGGGGAGGAGGGGTAGGAGGAGGCGGAGGAGGAGGAGGAGGAGGAGGTGGAAGAGAAGAAGGACGGGGAGTAGGAAGAGGAGGAGGAGAAAAAAAGGAGGAGGAGGAGGAGGGGGAGGAATATCGAGGTGGAGAGGGGGAGGAAGAGGAGGAGGAGGAGGAGGAGGTGGAGGAGGAAAGCGAAAGGAAGGGGAGATCACCCCGCCGGGCGAGACGAGGCCAGCAGCCCCCCTACAACGCGGGGCCTGTTGCAGGCCCTCCCTGGCGCCGCCGGGCTGCAGGAAGTCGGCAGCGCCACGCTCCACCGGTGTCCAGGCCTCGGCAACCACGTCGTGACGCCGCCGCCGCGGGCGCATCGAGATCTGGGCATTGCAACTTTCTCGCGCCGGGCACTTCCAGCCCTAATTCGGTGCACAGGACCTCAGAAGCGGAAGCTTCACACTATTACTTTGAAGAAGCTACTTGCTGAAGGAACATGCCTTTTCGTAAAGTGCGAGACCCACATGAGCATCTAGAACTCGCTGAAAACATGTCCACGGATCGCCGCGACCCGGTGCAACTCGACCCTGGTTACTTCGAGCAGATGCATCGCGGGGTGAACTGGCAGGAAAGACAAGGGCCCCCCGCCCCTCGACCGGGCCCCGGCCCCGCATCCCCAGGACGAAGGATGACCGCGGACTTCAGTAAAGCGACGAAGCGGCTTTACTCAAGCGAGGAAGCGGCTTTACTCGAGCGAGGAAGCGGTTTCAGTACAGGCGCTCTGCTCAATACATTCCAAAACAAAAAGGACGTCTTACCAAAGCAATAACAAATATTTAGTAAAGCGAAGAGACGGCTGGGGTAAAACTGCGCACGGACACCCCGCCCCTCCCATAAAATCGGGCGCGGGTCTCCAATGGGCGCAAGTAAGCCCGTGGGCCCGGGCCCTGTCGCCGCCGTCGCCGCGATGTTCGCCGTCGCCGCCGTCGCCGTTGCCGCCGTCGTCGTCACCGTCGGCGCAGGCGCCGCCGTCGTCGTCGCCGTCGCCGTCGTCGCTGCCGCGACGCTCGCGCATTCACGTTATTACCAGCGGCGGGTCGCGCGCGACAGCGCGCGCCATTGCGCTCGCATTTCCGCTCCCCCGACGGGGGCCCAGGCGGACATCGTTATTTTCCCTTCCACCCACAAATCTCTTGAAGAAATAGTGGCAACGATACGCCTCTGAGGATCATCACAAATCGACCTGGCTCGCAAATATCATCAGGAAACTAGGGTTTGGGGCACGAAACGGCTCAAATAGTAGTGCAGGGAAACTGAATTTTGGGCTCCCGTTGGGACTTTTACACGCCGGGCCTGGTTTCGGTCCCTGGGACCCTCACAGATCGATCGGGCTCGAAAAATGATGCTGAAAGATGGGGTCTGGGGTTCCCGCTGGGAATTTTGGCGATGTTGCATGTTTGCGCAACGTCGGATCTCAGGGTTTTGCCCTCCTCCTCCTCCTCCTCCTCCTCCTTCGGGCTTCGAGCTGCGGCTAGTGTCCAGCGACCCGATGGTGTCGAGCGATCCCTCCTCCTCCAGATCCTCCTTCTTCTTCGATCTCTTCGCCTCTCAGCCTCCCCTCATTCCCGGTTTCTCCCTCCGCTTCCCTCCAGCCTCCTCCGCCCTTCCTCATCTTCCCTCTTCCCTCCTCCTCCTCCTCCTCCTCCTCCTCCTCCTCCTCCTCCTCCTCCTCCTCCTCCTCCCCCTCTTTCCCCTCCTCCCTTCCGTCTTCTGCCTGCTCCCAGATGTTTTTTTTCTGTGTGTTTTCACGTAGCGCAAGGATTTTCCACGATCTGGGCCACTGGGGCCCCATACTGGGCCCCCCGAACCACTAACCATGGCTCTGGGATGGGTACGGAAAAGTGGAGACATGTCCAACAACAACATGTTGACCAAATGCGACAGCGCCCGCTGTTGGGCAGGCGCATTTTTGTCTCCACTGGACACCGTCCTCAGCGACACCGACAGCGATACCCGTTCAAGAGCTGCTGTCGGTCTTCGCCCTTATCCTTTCCGTACCGCTGCTGTCGGTCCTCGTCCCCCTTATTTGTCATACCCATGTCGACGTCGACCAGCCAGATCTCCGAGGGTGTGTGTGTGTGTGTGTTTTTTTGTTGATCCTTATGTATTTACTCGATCTTGGCACCTGGGGCACGATATCGGGCCCCAGGACCACCAGAAATCGCTGTGGGACGAGAAACTGCTCCTGGGGAAAAGGTCTGGGACTCTGGGGCCGCTCTAGATCTCGGACGGTACGATTAGTCCCAAACTCACCGTCACGCTTTGCCAGAGGGAGTCTTGCTTGTTGTGACAGAAGCCGGAGGGTGCGGGCTGTTTCGCCAATAGGCGTTGCCCCAGGTTGCTCGGGGTTGCTCGGGACTGCCCAAGATTGCACGGAGATGCCAAGCAATGCCAAGCAATGCCAGGTAATTAACGACTCCGAACAACACCATGCAATGCCAAGCGAGCGCCAAGCAACGCCAAACATTGTTTGCACCGTCAATGGAATCTGGCCCGCATTTGAAAAACGATGAACGGTGCGCACCAAAAAACAAACACAAACAACATCGGACCGGAATTCGGAACCCGAACAAGACCGGCGACGGAACCGGCGACGAATGCTTGAAAGACGGAATCGGTGAAAAGGCGGCCCTACTGCTTCCGAAGCCCATCCTTCCCCACTGCTTTACCATACGGTGTGGTAATCACACCGTTCAGGTGTCCTCGACTGGGGAAACCAAAAGGTAACGATACCGCTACTCGCTACCTCCTGGACCCTTCCCTGGGCGCATGCTGACCCGAATTGAAAAGAATCCAGCCGTGGCGACGAGAACTCTGCATGACGAAGGGTTGCTGAAATACGGAACTCTAGCCAGCGCCTGGGTGCATGGGGAGGGCTAGAGGAACAACCACGGAATGGCCCGAGGAACAAAGAGCCCCTTCCGAACCCGAAACGGTCCTTATTACAGCGTCTTGACGGTTATCCATCCCTCCTATGGCCAGCTATCCCTCACGGCGGCTCTGGGGGAACATCAGCCGAACCAACACCATGAGGAAAACGGGTACTCATGGAAACGGGTCCTGAACCCTGGGACCTTCCCGTGGGTCAAGTTCTTCATCCTGAATCGTTTTCTGACAGTCCCGGGGCCCGTGGAGGGCCCCGAAGGCCCAGAAACGGCGCACAAACCTCAGGACCCGTTTCCCGCAGGTGATGGGCACATTTGCAACCACAACGGCAGATCGTACGCTTCTCCACAGCAAAGGAGGCTACGAAAACCGTCATCACCCTGGAGACGGAGCTCACGAGCCGGAGGACTCGGGTTCGGACGTGGTCTGGCGAAGAGGGACGTACATTACCACGTGCGTAATATAACGGTGGTGGTGCGGTGTGAGAAGCCCTGGAATGGCACAACCTGTGGTCTGAAGTAACCACTGCCTGGCGCGAGCCGGGGGCATGGACGGCTGCAGCTGAACAGCGCGTGCAAGAGTTTCTGGCAGTGGAGGGGGAGGCAGGGAGCAGAACGCGGCGGGCTGGCCGGGGGCCTCGATCGCCAGGGCGTGGGCCGGCTGTGTGGGGGAATCCCGATGGACGTGCGCGAGAGGGAAAGGAAGAGGAGGAGGAGGAGGAGGAGGAGGAGGAGGAGGATGAGGATGATGATGATGAGAACGAGGAGGAGGAGGAAGAGAAGGAGGAGGAGGAGGAGGAGAAGGAGGAGGAATACTTCACCATCGTCCATTCTCCCCCGTCCTTCCAATGGTAGTGGTGGTAGACAATTGACCCATCATCAGGACCCGTTTCTCGCAATTTTCTATGACTCGAGAGGGGCGTTCGTCGGGGACGCACTGACCCGGGTCAACGCAAACCTGGGCCAATCAAGCTTTGCAAGATCTTGCAACATCCTGCAAAATCCTGCGCGCACGCCCGGGTCAATGCACCCCTGGTTCTGCAGGATCCTGCGACAACCGGCGCCCCGGCTGACCCGCCTTTGCATTCACCCCCGTCTCATAATTACAACTCGGGTCTGCTCCTCCTCTGGCCGGCCCTCCCTCACGGCGAGAACTGTGCAGTGGCCTGCGTTCGACCCTCCCCGTGCACCTCCTCCCCAGACGAAAACTTTGCCCCGCTTGTCTCCCTGCCTCTCTCGACCAACCCGCGCGCCGGCCAGGGCTGTGGATCAGGACGTGGCTGTGCCGTGCCCCTTCCTCGGATCCCAGAGATCCGAAGCTCCGAAAATATTGGAGCGGCGGGTTTTTGGCAATCTTCGGCCTCCGGGGGCCCCTGCGAGAGCTCGGGGCCATCACAACCGACTCAATACTGGACGAAAAACTAGCCCCAGGGAGGTGGTCCAGACCTCTAGGCCCCGCATCGAAAATACTGGAGAGGCCCGATGTCTGTGCTCCTTACACCCACATGGGGACCCCATCCTATCGACGATTCCCCAAGAGGGGTGTCGACAGCGGTGGGCCCCCCACGGGGGGTAAAGACCACATCTGCCTCAGAAGGGCTGCTGAAATAAGGCACGCTAGACAAGGGGCAAAGCTCCCTTTTGGCGCGAGCAACACCTGGGTGCACGAGGAGGGCTAGAGGAACAACCACGGAATGAGAGCCTCTTCCGACTCCCAAAGTGTCATTGGTTCAGCGTGTTGACGGCATGCGCTCCTCGTCTGACCAGCTCTCCCTCACGGCGGCTCTGAACGACGAACAGCCGCACCCGTACCCCCAGACCCCCGACGTCATTTTGTGTCGCGCCCTCGATCCCCTCACGGGGCCAGCTGGCGACCCCGAGGCCCTGCAAGGGCAACCTCCGTCTGGGTTTTGTCACGACTCGAGTGGGTCTGGGGATGAGGGCCCCCCGGGGGGAGCGGCGCCTGCGCAATCGCGCCGTCCAGCCCGCTCTCGGCCGACCCCGCTCTCGCCAGGGCGGCCGGCGCCCCCGCGAGAGCGGACCCCGCCGCAGGGGCGGCCGCCGCCGCGGCCTCCCGACGGTGGCGGCAGCGGCCACGGCGGCGGCGACGCCGCCGACGACGCGAAAACGTCGGCTGCCTCTCGACGGCGGCAGCGGCGGCGGCGGCGGCTGCGACGGCGGCGACGCCACCGACCACGCTGACGACGGCGGCGGCGGCGGCGGCGAATCGGCGACAGCGACGGTGGCGGCGGCGGCAGCGAAAGCGGCGGCAGCGGCCACGGCGGCTGCAGCGGCGGCGGCGGTGATGACCACGCTGACGACGGCGGCGACGGCGGCAAGGAGGAGGATCCGAGGAGGAAAAGGTATGCCGACATCGCTACCCTCGCGTCGTCGCCGCGGCTGGATTCGCCTCGAAATCGTGACCAGAGAGCACCCCGGCAGAGGTCTGTGAAGCGGCGGTCTGGGTACCTTTCTGTTTCCCCCGCGGAAAAGGAGGACGAGGCTGCGGTGACGGCGGCAGCGACGGCGCTGCGGCAGCGGCGGCGGCGAGGGAATGCATGTTGTTTCCAGGAAGCCCGCCAGCAAGTCTGACCAAACGGCTCTAGGGAAGTGGTGCAAAACATAGCCCTGTGAATCTTCACTGAATACCTTGATCAAAAATCCTGGCACGGTGCAGGGGTGGGCCGACCATTGGATCTTTCGCGGCGTGACAGCCCGCACAAAGCCTTATCCTCCTCTTCCTCCTCCTCCTCCTCCTCCTCATCCTCTTGCTTCTTTCCCTCTGTCCTTTTCGTCCTCCTCCTCCTCCTCATCAGCATCCTCCTTTCCGACTGCTCCCTCTGATGATCGTTGCCCAAACTCTTCCTCTCCTTCCACTTCCTTCTTCCCGAGACCTCCAAAGACAAAGAGACGCCCACAACAACTCCAGACGCCAAAAGACATCGTTCCAGAAAGTTTGAAAAGGGTCGGCGGATGTGGCGTAAGCCTGGAGAATCATCATCAGCATCATCAGCATCATCAGCGCATCCATCGTCATCATCATCATCATCAGCATCATCATCATCCGTTATCCATCACCCATCATCCATCTTCACCCATCATCCATCGTCATCACCCGGCCGGGCCCCGCCTCCTGCCCCTCGGAGAGGCAGGTGTCCACGTACTCGAGGACGGACTGGGTGCCCTGGCGACCCCCGGCGCGGCCCCCTCGTAGCCACCCAGGCTTCCGACGATACAATCGTCCAGGCTGGGGCGAATCTCCGATGCCGCTGCCGTCCTGGAGAGCTCTAGCTCAGGGGGATCAGCGATACATCGCCCATGGATCGGCGCTAGGCCACGGATAGCATATCCGCAAGTTCCTGGACGGGATGGGGCAGGTTATCGGACCCCCATTGGCATGAAGGGGCGATTGGGGGTCGATTCGTCCCCCCTTTTGCCCATCCCCACCTATCGTTGCCCCTAAACGTCACCAAGGCTGGATTATCCTCGAACTCTTGGTCAGAACGCACCCCTAAAGAGGTCTGGGGAGTCAAACCAAGGACAGACCACTACGCGATTCAAAACAAACTGGCGCTCAACATGTCAACCGAAACGACGCCAAACGTTCAAAGCGGATGTTCAGATCGAGTCCGGTGCCAAACGAAGTCGAACGACGAAACGGGGCGATTCAAACAACAGCGAGAAACACGAAGCGAGGCAACAACGAGGAATGGCACGAAACACAAACCCAGAGTCCCAAATCAAACTAAACACCGTTGTGGTCGGTCCTGGGGGTCTTGCAATCCTGGACGCTTCCTTCTCGATGGCCCGGCCTCCTGGCCCCGCGATCATCGGGCCCCCGGGGCTGGCAAGTCGGCGGTGGACAAACCTCCCTTTAGTAGACCACCCTTTAGTGCAAACGGCCTGGGACCGAAACCGACGCACCTGGACCCGCAAAAACGACGGCCGCGACGCCCTCTCGCGAACCGAAGACGGCCAACTCGCTAATCGACGTGTCAGGGCAGGAAGTCTGTCCGCCCCCGAGCAGGGTGAAGGGGCCCTGGGACACACAAATAAATACACACAAATAACATAATTCCCCATATTTTCTCATATTTTCTGGGTTTTTGTCTTCCCCCCCACTTCCCATATTTTCCTATATTTTCTGGGGAATCGAGGATTAATTGTGTCTGTGTGTTTCTTTTCCTCCTGACAGGGATCCGGAGCGAAGCACTGCCTCCGAGAGGGAGAGGGGCCGGGACCTCCCAGGGGGCCGCCCACGGAGCGCCTCACGCCGCGGCAGCGCTCCCGCCTCGCAGCCGCGCGGCCCGCGCTGTGTGCCTCGCCGTGCTTCCCGGAGGGTTGCCAGCTGCGCAGTCTCTCAACGCCCCTCCAACGGGGACTCCACTAACGGGTACACCCTGCGAAATGCTTAAGAAATCATGGGTTAAGAAATTCATAGTCTCAGAACTTGAATAAAAACCCAGAATGTCTATTCAAATCCTGGGATTTACATTGAAACATTAAGAATAATCGAGACTCTGGCCGAAAACGTAAGTTTTCTTAAGCATCGCCTAAGGTGTACTCTGGCCAGTGACCCGGCGAACGCAACCCTCGCCGATGTGGAGAACGCCGCAATGCCAGAGAGAGGCCCTGAAGTGGCAACTTTCGGCCACTTCCCTCCCTCCCTCAGACGAGGCCAAGATTAGGCAAGCGCGTTCCGCTACTCGCAAAGTCACTACTCGCAAATGGCCTGGATTTACGCAATGTTACATCGAGGCGAACGTGGGATTTTAGGGGACGCTTGCGAGTAGGCACTCTGCGAGTTGTGGGACGCGCTCGGCGAAAGACAGTGACGACATCGGACTGGGACAGCTCGGGGACCTCTGAGACCCGGCGGCTCCGGAGGACGCGTCGGGCGCCGCGGCCTCCCCGAGTTCGGGAAGGCTCTGAGAGCGCTCCCGGACGAGCTGGAGCTGTTCCTCCCGATCCCAGCCCCGCCCGACCCTCGGAGTGACTACCTACCAGACCACCCCAACCCAACCCGAAGACCCGAATTTCGGGTTGGGGGGGGTACGGGTTCCATATGTGTGTTATTCGATGTTCCCGAACCCTCTCACTAGAAATCGAGGGTAAATCTGAGCCTTCGGGTTGGGTTGGGGTGGTTTGGTGGGTGGTGACGGAGCACCCGGGCAGCTGGCGATGATTCGTGTGGATCGCGGCGGCCTCCTGGGGCCCGCGATCGGTCCCCGGGGGCGGCAAGAACAGGTCAGGGGCGAGAACCTGCCCCAGGGGGAAGAGGCCGGGGCCTCCAGGGCCGCACACGGACGGCATCATCTCGTCATCGCTCGGGCGCCCATGCGGACAGCATCATCCTGCCCCCCCGTGCATTTGCCGGTTTCGTGCGCTCATCTTTTCGCAGGATGCTCCAAGATCTTCCTCGATCGTCCTCGCCGAGAAAAAATACACACGTCCGAAGGATGCCAAATCATATCTGGGGACACCAACAGGTACGGATACTACTCCCTCTCCAGGGGTGCGTTCTGACCAACATGTCGAGCCGAATGCAGCAGTGGGACCAAGGGTCTCGTAGGAAACCCAAACAGGGGAAAACGAAACAAATATAGCGGTGTTGGCACCTCTCCCTCCTCTGAAGATCGTCGGATGCCTGGGTGCTTTTTTGCCATGAGTGACCGGGCCGGACACGTCAGCTGGGCACGGCCTGAACGGCCCCTTCCCGCACGAGACATTTCCGCGACGACCCCTCGCCCTGCCCACGCCTTGGAGCGAGGCGGAGGGGGTCGTCACGGGAGGGGTCGGTCTGCCAGGGGTCCGCCAGGCCGCCCCAGAATTGGCTGGTTCGGACTCCTGTGGCAACGCGTGGAGAGACAGGGCCCCCACGGGAGCCTCGAGCAACAGGGGCGGCGGGTGGGTCGGGTCCAGTCTGTCGGGAGGCCAGGCATCGAGCGGATCCCAGGCATCGAGAGACGAGGAGGAGAGGTGCGCAAGCCGAGGGCGAGGCTAGGGGGGTTGTCTGACGAGCTCGGTCGGTCGGTCGGAAGGCCGATGAGATCTCGGAGGCGGTGAAATCTTGGGCTCCGCCTGGTTTTCTCGCAGGGACATCCACGCGCCGCGGATCCACACGCACATCGCCCACTCAAAAACCCGAAATCCAACAACACATGGCATCTCTTGCGGGCGCATCTGTTACTTTTGCTGGCGTTCCGCTGGTTGAGCCGCCCTCGCTTCTCTTCCGCTGCGCTCCTGCGGAGAAAAATTATACAATCCCTCGGTCTCGCCGAGGTCAGGCCAGGCCCGTGATGGAACGCCGCACACAGCGACCAGAGCATGACAGGGACTGCGAGGTATCATTCCGCGCGTGGCCGCGCGTGGTCTACCTCAATGTGGACACAGCACTGGGATGATTGTAGCAAATCTGTCGATTGCCGACTGCGCTAGACGCACCTATTGTGGTGTCGCGAGGCTGTGGTTGATAGACTGCGGCGGCACGCAGGCTTCGCAACTGAGAAGCTCCATGGGCATCACACGAAGGCGTGCTGGGTGCTTCGGCAAACCGAAATAGAACTGGGCCACGAGGCCCTCCAACCAGATCAATAAGGAATCCTGCTCACACAAGATGAAGCTTTGGGAGGCACCACGGAATGGGTATAACGGCAATGGGCAATCCATACGGGAGGTGCAAGTCACGTGCGCAGGTTGGGCAAGACACAACATTGGTGAAACATTGGTGACAACGCACAATGGTGGTCGCACCCAATGTTAATCTCTCCACAAAACGGTTTGCCCCAACTTCCTGTGCACCGAGCCAGGGGAAAGCTCAAGGGCGGTGCGAGGAAGCCTAAGATGAAACCAGGACGAGGATAACATCGGGTGAGGATCATACGAGAATATCTGAGATCTGGCGGATGTATAGGGCGTCGCGGTCTTCTTGGATAATTCTGGAACGGACGTGGTTACCCTCGTTCCTAGCCCCGTGCGAGACCTGGCCGAACGATGCTGAACCACATGCGCAAAGGGACCGATACTGTTCTGGACAAGTGCCGCCACTGCCCCGAACTCACCTCCCCCGCTCCCGGGCTCCATCTGCCGACCGATCTCCGATCTGCGCAAACTACTGTTGTTTCCTCCCTCGTCGGTGCACGCTTCCGCTGCGCCGCTGCGCCGTCTCTCCCGCCCGTCCGTGCCCGAGTCTCCGCATTCTCGACGCTGGCTGGCATGCCCCTCCCCCCCGGAGGGCCACGAAAATTCGCTCCGTGAGGTCAATGCTCTCCACCGTCACGTGCTGGGCGGGCGAGCGGGGCGGGGGGGCTGGTAAAGATAACAAAACGTGCTCCTATGTTCATAGATTCAGCTAAGTTTGTTCCGTATGGCAGTTTACAGCGGCACCGCCCAACTAAGCAGTGCGAGAAGTAGGTTTTTTCGTTGGCGAACGACAATTATTCCAGCTCCTTGCCAAATCTCGACACCGCACTTAGTGTTTCACCAAGGGCGCCTTCACCCAAATTCGCCGGCCCAACGGACAAGAGGCGTGCTAAAATCTCCAATAACAAATTAACAATAGTTCTAGTTCGCGCGCGCGTAGCGATCCCTGGGGACCCCCGGACGAAACCGGGTGGGTCCGACTCAGAGATGTTTTTTCCATCTGGGCGCGGCTTTCAGGCGCCCCAGAGCGCTCCCACAGGGCCCCAAGAATCCCCAAGATGGTCCAAGAGGGTCCCGAGTCGCCGACCGATCGCTCAAGACGCCCAAGATAACCTCCAGGCGGCCGCAGACGCCGCGGAAAAGCCCCAGGAGAGCCTCAAGAGGCTTTCCAAGACGGCAACGCCTCCTCCGCTCCGGGCGCCTCCTTCGACAGCGACTCAGTGCAATGCCGCCGCCTCAATCCTGCTCGCGCGTGCCCGCCTTTTTCCATTTCGGGGGCCTTGGGAAGTTCTGGCGGGCGCCGTTTTCAACAACTGTTTTTTTCCGTTTCCCTACCCCGGTGGCGCCGATTTGTTGTATCTTTTACTTGTGTCCAAGAGCGCAAACTGAAAACGGACATATACCCAGACCGTATTGAGATACAAATAGTGAAGAAGGGCGGCGTGAAGCATCTTTCCAGTAGGCTTGGGGTAAGTCGCGGCACGAAGACCCTGCTACACTAAAGCCGCAGTACCCGTGGTACCAGGGATTGCTCAACACACTGCTAGCCGTATCCGTTGATGCCGTGGCCGAGTTAAGGCTTCTAGCACCTAGGCGCTAGAAGCATGTAGGCGTTCCCAAGACGCCGAATGCCTTCTCGGCTCCTCCACCGTCTCACAAGGGCACTCCCCTCACGACACCCCCCTTGTGCTGAGGGGCATCGATAGAGGGGGACCAGCTCAAAAAGGAAAAACATCGAGCTGGACTCGGCGATATATCGCCGATGGATCGGCGGGACGCGCCCGATAACGCAACTGCAAGTCCCTGAGCGGGATTGGGCTATCGGGCACCTATCGGCGATGAACACATGAATTCGGCCCCCTCGAACATTGCTCGGGATGTGCGCCTCGCCAAAGGCGGGTTCCGGAAAACCATGTTTTACTTCCGCTGGCCTGCAGCCGACTTCCGCCAGCGGAGCCGCCCTCGTCTTACTTCCGTCACCGTCCGCAGAGGAAGAGGCGACTCCTTCGATCCTCGGAGGCAGGTAATGCCCTTTCAGGAGCGCCCCAAATGAGCGATGAGAACTGGATTTACGCGAGATGCCATCGCCGTCTGACGCGGTGGTTAACGCGGGCGGCCAGCGAGGCACACCGCGTGGAGAACAGGGCACGTGCGCGCGACCTTGCGCGGACAGCTTACGCGCCCACGCCGGTGGAGACGAAACCATCCTCCTTCGTCGCTCAAATGTGTCACAAACAAGGTTGGCAACGGGACACGGCCTGCTGCCCCGCCGGCAACCCGGGAGAGGGCCGCCCGCGCCGCGAGGGCCGCGGAGACGGGCGAGCGGGCGCGCGGTGCGCGACGGCGGCAGAGATCCATGGCGGCCTTCAGGAAGGAGACCGTGCCCCGCAGGACAGTGCGGGAGATGTGCTGGTTACCGCCGCCTCCGGGCCGGGGCGCTCTCGAGTCCCACTCGGCCCTCGAGCCCACCGCTGCGCAGCCCCGTCCGCGCGCTGCCTCCGTCCGCACCTCAGTCCGCCCCCCCGCCCGCCCCCCGCCTGTCACCCTCCGCCGCTCCATCCGCCTGGCCCTACCCATCTGCTCCGCCACGCGCGGGCCGATTCGGTGGTCTCGTGACGGCCATCCTACGGCTGTGGTGCTACAAGCCGAACACGCCACGACCAAGGAGTCCACTGCTGTCCTTGAGTGAAGCACTCCCTGCTGCCAGCGCCCTCGAGAGGAATGCGCGTCAGAACGATGGGCAGCTTGAGTGCGTGGCATGTGGAACACATGTCGCCTGTGATCACCCAAAAGCTTGGACCGACGACACAACTTTTCGGCTACACGCAAGAGTGACCCTGGGCAAGATGAAGGGGCCCTGGGACACACAAATAAATACACACAAATAAAAAGATGCCCCATATTTTTCCATATTTTCTGGGTTTTTGTCTTCCCCACCACTTCCCATATTTTCCCATATTTTCTGGGGAGTCGAGGATTAATTGTGTCTGTGTGTTTTTTTCCCTCCTGAAGAGTGACCCTGGGCAAGAGTGACTCTTGATGCGCGGCCCCAGGGGGGGGGCCTTTGGGGACACCGCCGGGCGCGCAGGCCGCTGCTCTCGTATCGCATTCAGCGATCGAGGGTTCCCGTTGGGCCCGCACCAAATGGGACGCACATGGACATACTAGTACTATATGTCCTCCTTGGAGGCGCGCGTCCGACCCGAACATGTAGTATACCCATCTTGTAGTATATCGTTTCCCGAGCGGTGTGGCCAGAAAGCGCCCGCCACGACGCATATACTATAAGATTTCTCGGTGCGCGCGTCGCCCCTGGGGGGGCGACGCACATATAGTATAAGTATGTTGGGGTGTTGCCGACCAAAGGTCACTCCGGCGAAGAGTCACTCCTAGGTGTAGCCGAGCTTTCCAGCCCTATATCATCAGTTCGCCGGCAAGCCGAGCCAAATGCGTGCTTTGTGACTACCTCGCGCGCACGGGGCGGTCCTGGAGATCCTCGAGGAAGAATGCCCCAGGTGCATCCCGGGCGCGGGCTTCAGGACCCCTAGCAAGACACCCCATCCCGCAAGGAGCGCCCCAAGGGAGCTAGAAGCCGTCCTACAATAGGGATCAGGAAAGCTCCAAGACGGCCAACAACGCAAAGAGGCCCTGGAGTTCTCGATAGGAAGCAGTAGCGCGCAAGACGGCAAACACATGAGAAATCCCCAAACATCGGAGGCTGGGGGGTGAGATCGAAGTGGAGCGGAGATTCCCACAACGGGAAATCGGTTTCGGTTTCGGCTTCGTGTCGTGCGTGCGTGCAGGGCGAAGCTGCGTGGGCGGGCGAGACGAACAACTCCGCTGTGGCCAACGCGGGTCTGAGCCGTTGACCTGTCCTTCGGTGGCCTGGATATCCCGAAGTGTCAAGTGTCCCGCCGCTGTGCCGTCGGTGTCCCGTCGCGGTGGGTGTCGAGTCGGTGTCCCGTCGCAATGGGTGTCCAGTTGGTGTTCCGTGGTTGTCCCGTCGGTGTCCCGTCGGTGTCCCGTTGATGTCCTGTCGGTGTCCCCTTGGTGTCCCATCGGTGTCCCGCCGGTGACGCGTCGATGTCCCGTTGGTGCAAGTGTGGTGTCCCGTCGGTGTCCCGTGATGAGATCGATCGAGTGGACTCGATAGTAGGATAGCATCGCGGCGCAGCATCGTCACCACGCGTCGTCACCAACTCGATGGCGCATCACCAGCATCGTCATCATCACAGCTATTGCAGCTGTCGTCAGTCTGTTCTGTCTCCCCACCCCCTAACCGCCTTCTCACCCGAAGGGAGGTAGTATAGGTGTTGCCGACTGTCTTAGCGTTCTCCTCCTCTAGGCTTCCGACGGCCCAAGACGGCCCAAAAGGCCCCCGAGATCGCTCCAAGACGGTTCCATCAGCTCCGAAAAGAGTTGCAAGACAGCCAAAGAGGGCCCCAAGACGAGGCCCCCAACAGGCCTCCGAGGCCACCATTCGGCCCCCGGGAGCCCCCCAGGCCAAAGAGGCTCCAATGGATCTTCAAGACGCCCTCAAGAGGACCCCAGAGGCCCCAGAGAGGCCGCCAAGAGGCCCCAAGCAGCTCCCAAGAGACCCCCAAGAAGCCTCCCAGGAGAACTCGAGATGTATGCAACACGACTCAGACCTACGACCCAGACACGGTGGCGGGATGCGTGGGGGTGCTCTTTCGGTTGTGCCTGTGCAACTACCCTGCAACTGTTTCTCCCCCAAGCAAGGTTCACGCGACAGCTCAAAGAAAACGACCGCCTCCCATCAAATAGTCAGCCCCAGCGAACACACAGTGTAAGTGCCATTGATGATACAATATGGGCCGGCGGAGTGAAAGGAAGAAGGAGCACACGATGCACCTCTTGTGACGAATGTTTGCGCAAGAATGCCGACACGATCTGCTCGCGGTCATTCTTATGGCTTCTGCATATCACCGGTTGCACATCTCGCCCGGAAAGGAGGATTGGCTGTGCTTGTGTTCGCTTCTTGGCTGGACCTTAGAAGTCAGCAACACCTGAGTAGGAATGCGACTGTTTGTTTCGCCTGAAGAAAGATGGCCTGCAACAACATTATGTGTTCTCGTCTCTGTTCAACAAGCGCCGTGCTCGGGTACCGCTAGAAGAATGAGGGAACGCGCTGCGGGAGAAAAAACTCTTAACGCGTGAAAGAAGAAGAAGACGCCGGAAAGCCACCGCCGCAAGAAATCGCCGCGGGAGAGCAGTCGCTCTCCGGGGGGAAACCAGCGCCGCGACCAGCGCCAGAAGAGCAAACGCTGCTGTGGGGGCAGCCCCCCTGGGCAGCCTGCGAAGGCAGCGGTGGTGGGCCGGCCTGTGTGGTACTGCTTCAAGGACTCCAGGACCACCTCTGCCAGCCCGCCGCCGATGTTCGCGAAGGACCTGATCGGGGTCACACCTGCCCGGGGGAAGGCGCCGCAAGGCGCGTGCTGTGCACGCCGGCGCCCCCTGCTGGAGTCGCCCGTGCGCGGCGTGGCGGGGCCGACCCGCGGGCTTGGAAGGCCCTTAGCTGACTGCATTCTCCCTTGCTCCTCTTGCTCGTCCAGGCGGGGGTCGAAACGGAGTCTGTGGGAAGGGAGGGGAGTGGAGGGGAGGGGGGGGAGGGGAGAGGGGCTGGGATGGAGAAGCGGAGGGAAGGAGGGGGTGAGAGGAGTCGGGAGAGAGAGGAGGGGAAGAGGAATGTGGGATAGGGGGACGAGCAGAGAGGTGGTAGAGGCAGAGGCGAAGGGGGGGAAGGAGGACAGGGGTGGGGGGAGAGCGCCGAGTCGCGAGAGGGGAGGCTCCCTTTCCCTGGCCAACTCTCGGCGCCGAGGGCGGCCATATGAGCAACGAAAGGGGACGGGCCTCACGCGAGAGTGTTGTCAGAGAGAGGGTGCCCTTGGCGCGTGGCCGAAGTGGGCTTCCGCGGAGCGTTTTTTTGTTGTTGCGCTGAATGAGGATGACTGGACAATTGCTATTTTTGGACATTCTACATCCACCCTGACGCTCTCGCTTCGGGGAAGGCTGCACTTACTTTGAACTTTACGCTCGCATTCGGGCGCTTCGGCAAACCACAACTCTCCCGCTCGATACTTCCTCCTCCTCTACTCGTGACCAGGTTGCTTCGCTCGCTGCCGAAAGCCCGCTATCCAACAAAACCAACACTGCGGCTCGATACCTCCCTGTTTCTTTACTCAAGACTGGCGCCCCCGCGTCGGAGCCGCAAGCGCCACTCCTGCAAACAACGACGCTCCCGCTCGAAAGTTCCTCCGTTGTTACTCAAGACTCCCAAAGAGGCCCTGAAGCTTCAGTACACCCCGTTGAACTTCTCTGATACAAAAACCCGCCACCGTGCCTCAGGCCACGGAGCGGGGGTGTCCTCAGGTCCTTTGCCTAATCCCTGGAGCCTCAGTCCTCAGTCGACAGGAGTCTTTAAGTCAAAGGCCTGGACCCCAAACTCTCAAATTCACCAAGGCTTACCGCGTGCCACCTGGGCTCCCGGAAGTGTTCCCGCATGACTTGTTCGGGCCCAGGAGGGCCCCAACACGCGCAAAAATGGCCCCAAGCGGCCTCCAAGACAGTCCGAGAAGGCCCCGAGAACGCCCCAACATCAGGCCCAGAAGGTCAAAAAATGGCCTCACAACGGCCAAACATGCCTCCAAACGCCACAAGAGGCCTCCAAGGGGTAAGCCCCTCCTCGGAGAGGAAGTTGGAAGATGGGAGAGAAACCACCCCAAAAACACCTACGCTCAGAAGGCTGGCGCGATTACCCGTCGGTCGGAATAAGTGGGTAGAAACATGAAGTAGAAGGCGCTGGAAGTAGATTGGACTTCCGCCCGCCCCCTACACATGAAGGAAAGGAACAAACACTCGTTCATTAGAACAACATGCTTAGCCGTTGTAGCGCGCGGAGGGACGCCAAGCTTCCAAAGAGCAAGCCTGAAGCTTCAGCCTTAGGCTTGAGCTTGAAGCATCAACCTTAAGCCTGTGCTTGGGCTTAGTCCAGAGGCCTTAGCTTAGGATTGGGCGAGAGTGGTTTAGGGGAGGTCCAGGGAGGCAGCGCCAACCACGACGACCACCAAAACACATTTTTGTGCAATGCAATAAATGTTGCATCTAGTCTGGCCGGTCTAGTTGCTCTGGTTTAAGCCTCGTCCTGAAGCCTTAGTTTAGGATTCGGGCGAGTGGACCAGGGGAGGTCCAGGGAGGCAGCGCAAAGCACCACGACCACCGAAACACAGTTGTTGTTGCATTGCAGCTGTTTGTTTGCGTTGCAGTTGTTGTTCATTGCAGTTGTTTTGCATTGCAGTTGTTGTTTGCACCTGGTCTGGCTGGTCTTGTCTGGCTGGTTTGAGCTGTGTCTCGAAGTTTTAGCTTAGGGCTCGGGCGATTCTTTTTTGCATTGCAGTGTTTTGTCCATTGCAGTTGTTTTGCATCGCAGTTGTTTTGCATTGCAGTGTGTTGCATCTGGTCTGGCTGGTCTGGTCTAGCTGGTTTGAGCTTCGCCCTGAAGCCTTAGATTAAGCATTTGTTTTGCAATGCAGCTCGTTTTGTTTCAATACGCTTCTTGCTTGCACCTGGTCTGGCTGGTCTGGTCTGGCTGGGTTTGAGCTTCGTCCTAAACCCTGGCTTAGGATTCGGGTCATTTGTTTGCATTGCAATGGTCTGCTGCACTGCCGTGTTTGCTTGCATGGGGTCTGGCTAGTTTGGTCTAGTTGGTTTGAGCTTCGTCAAGAAGCCTTAGCTTAGAGTTTGGGCGATTGCTTGTGCATTGCATGTGTTTCTGTTTTGCTTTTTTGTAATGCAGATTATTTTGCATCTGGTCTGGCTGGTCTGGTTTGGCTGGTTTGAGCTTCGTCTTGAAGCTTCAGCGTAGGATTCGGGCGACTATGCCTGGTTTGAGCTTCGTCCTGAAGCCCTAGGTTAGGATTCGGGCGATGTTTGTTGCAGTGAAGTTGTTTTGCATTGCAATGTTTGTTTGCGTCTGGTCTGGCTAGTCCGGAAGGTCCGGCTTGTCTGGTTGGTCCAGTTGGTCTGGTTGGTCTGGCTGCTCTGGTTGAACTGGTTGGTCTGGTTGGTCTGGCTGGTCTGGTCTGGTTGGTCTGGTTGGTCGGTCTGGCTGGTCCTGAAGGTCTGGCTGCATGGCTTGGTCTGGTTGGTCTGGCTTATCTGGTCTGGTCTGGCTGGTCTGTTCTGGTCTGGCTGGACTGGTTTGCCTGGCTGGTCTGGTTGGTCTGGTCTAGTCTGCCTGGCCTAATCGGCTTGTCAGGCTGGTCTGGTCTGGTTGGTTGGTCTGGCTGGTCTGGCTGGTGTGCTTGGTCTGGCTGGTCTGTTGGTCTGGTTGGTCTGGTTGGTCTGGTTGGCCTGGTTAGTCTGGTTGGTCTGGTTGGTTGTCCGGCTTGGCCTGGCACGGTTGGTCCACTGGCTCTGGTTGGTCTGGCTTGTCCGATTGGTCTGGCTCGACCGACCCACTGAGTGCTTCCGGATCCGGTCTCGGCCTGCAGGTCTCATTGGCGCGGGCGCGAAACGTGGATCTTGCATGATGACGTTGAGTAGAAGGAGGGGGAGGAGGAGGAGGAGGGCGACGAGGAGGAGAAGCACCGTCCCTGACGATTCCAGGGCCTAGCGACCGTTCCCGAAAAGCCGAATCCTTAACAAAAACGACGTCGTCGCAGTCGTCCTCGTCCACGCCCTCGGCTTCCTCGTCGTCGTCGTCGTCGTCGCCATTATCGTCGTCGTCGTCGTTTTCGTCGTCGTTTTCATCGTCGTCGTCGTCAAAGTCTTCGTCGTCGTCGTCGTCATCGTCCTGCCCCTTGCTTCGCCGCAGCCAGGTCTGGGACCGAAAGCGCTGCTGCGTCAAGTCCGGCTGCGGCGGAAAGGGAGGTGGGGAGGGAGGGAACATCAGCAGCCGCATCATATCTTAGGGCCCAGTATAATGTAAGGCGCCAGGGCATGAGAACTTTTCGCCTCGAGCGGCTCAGAATAGGAAGACGCCAAAAATGGGTTGGAACCTGGGGATTCAACAAAAAATCTACCTTCAACGACCTGCGTGTAGTTTGCTTTCGCTGTTTACTGCCCGGTCCCGTGCCCGAAGGATCATCGACCTAGAGGGCGGGGCCCAGACCCCCGACGTCATGCTTTTTGTTTTGTTCCACGACGCGGACCCGCAGCGGTCTGGAACCATCTCCCAGGACCGGTGTTTCGTCCCGAGCGTGTTTGACAGTCCCGAGGGCCAGTGACGACCCCCAGCGCTGGAGAAACGCGAACATCCCTTTGCCATGATTCTGTCATGGCCCGAGGGGTTCTGGGGGCGTGGCGCCTATCAGCGACCGGAGGATCTGCGTCCTGTTCAGGTCCGAGCTCCAGGACTGCACCACCTGCAGCATCACCTGAAGGTAAGACGAAGCCAGGACGAGGACAACATCGGGTGAGGATAGGTAAACCGAGAATCTCTGAGATCTGACGGTTCAGAAAGACGTCCCTGGGGCCGCGGTCTTCTCAGCACATTCTGGAACGCTCTGGGAGCGTCCCAGTGGGCAGAAAATCCACCCTGATAATAACCACCCCGGCAAGCCAAGCCGTTCAGTAAACGCGCCCAAGGAAGGAACCGAAGGGGGCGGCTGCTTAGTAAACGTTGGGCGTTGCTTAATGGGGGGGTCACAAATGGGGGGGTCAGAAACGGTCCCCTTTCGTGCCCCTTTCGGGCCCCTCCAGAGCCTCAAGGGGCTCGTTTAGGTACCGTTTGGGTACCTTTTCGGACCACCCTCGCCACCCCCCCATTTATGACCCCCCCATTACGCAGCGCCCAAAAACGTCTGTCAATTGCCGGGTCCGGGTGGATTCCCCTCCCTTCGGAAGGGCCCTGGCCCCGTCCGAGAGGGGTGGGCCGTGGCGCCCCCTTCGGGGAGGCTCGGCGCGGCCTGGGCCGCCCGGGCTGCGTCCCCGCGGAGCCGCGGCCGACGGAGCAGGGCGCTGCGGCCGGCACCCGGGCGGCCTCGTCGCAGCGCTGGAGACCAGAGGGGACGAAGCGGTGACTGTGTCCAGCACCCCGCTGCGATGGAGTATTGAATCCGCCTCCTCTCACGGAGGCCATGACAACACCGAGGGAAACACGCGCGGACACGGGCTCGTACCACGACCAAGACTGAACGCAGAAGCGTCGGCGTCGATCTTGGTCCTCATGCATTCGTAGGTCATCCCCGCTCATCGGCGACGGCCAGCACGGACCATGACCAAGATCAGCGTCGACAAGATCCCACCTTGGCCCTTTTCGACGCCTGGTGGTTTTAGGGCACCTACTCGGGCCTCTGGCGGCCGTTTGGGGCGATCCGGGCACCGCCAGAACATTGTCGACGAAGCGCAGCTGCTGGAACGCATCCCGAGGCTGGAAAACCGTCAGGAACTTGCAGACAGGGTAGAAACCTCGAACCCCACAAGCCTCGGGCCTGCCCCCCCCCTCTTCATGGTCATCGTATGTCTTCCCTCGCGAGGTGCGGCCAGGCTGTGGTCGGCAGCTGCCTGGCCTCTCGGGCTACGTCCGCGCTGCCCCTGCGGGCGGCAGGACCGCTCCAGCGCGCAGGGCGGGCGGGTGCCGGCACCCTCGGGGGCATCCCAAGGGGCTGGTCGCAGCTCACGGCCCGAATCACATGTTCACCAACTCGGGGAATACAATTGTCGGGGCGTTTCCATTGATCCTCATTTCTCCTCCTCCTCCTCCTCCTCCTCCTCCTCCTCCTCCTCCTCCTCCCCCTCCACCATTCCCCCTCCTCCTCCTTCTCCTCCTCCTCCTCCTCCTCCTCCTCCTCCTCCTCATTACCGCATGCGCCGAAGAGGGGTGCCAGAAAGAAGGGAGTTAGCGCATCATGGCCCGAGGCCTGTGCGCGGACAAAAAAAAGAAAAACCGAAAAACACAATACAATGAGACGAGGTAGCCATGACAGCCGGGAAGGCGACGAGATCCCAGCGACCAGCCAAGAGGCCTCGGACCCACAACCCAGGCACGGTGGCGGGATGTGCCGGAGGCCATGCGATCCGCCACCCCTGTGGTCTTGCCACAGGGGTGCCTGGCGTGCCGAATCTCTTGAGGTATTTGGTTTTGGTTCTTTTCCAAAAGAGCTCCCCCTGGGGCTTCGGCCGATCCCGCCAGCCACAAGGAAGGCTGCGCTCGACCCATGGCAAAGGTTTTGCTGCTCCAGATGGCTTTAAGGTGGCCCAAGAAACTGCCAAGATGGCCCAGAAGCTCGCCCAAAATGGCCAAAGATGACTTCCAAGACGGCCGAACGGAGTCCAATATTGCTCCAAGTTCGCCCGAGAAGCTTCCAAGACGTCCCAAGACAGCCCCATCGAGGCCTCCAAGATGCCTCCAAGACGGTCCAAGTGGCCTCCAAGAGGTACTCCAGGATGGCCCGAAGCGGCCAATCTCATTCATTCACCTTAGGTTTGTGCCAGATGTTGACATTTGCTTTTTTCGGCCCTCCGACGGCCCAAGACAGGCCGCTAAGATTGCCTCCGCCGCCCCCTGTGGTCTTGCCATAGAGGTGCCCGACCTGCTGGAGTTCCTACGGATTTTTGTTTTGGTCCTTTCAACAGAACATCACCCTGGGACGTCGGTCCATTGTGCGGGCCACCCAATCGCCTCTGAGACAACCAAGATGGCCAACATTGCCTACAAGGTGCTTCCAAGACGGCGAAGATCGCCTCCAAGATGGTCAGGATGGCCCCCTGGATGGCTATGATGGCCCCAAGATGCTTCCGAGACGGCCCAAGATGTGCCCCAGACGACCTAATATGGCCTCAAGATGGCCCACGACGGCCCAAGAGGCCCCCTAAGAAAGCCTGCGAGACGGCCCAAGAGGCCCTTAAAAAAGGCATACAGGAAGGTACGAAGAGGCAAAGATCATGTTATGTATTGGTCGGCCTTCCGACGGCCCGAGACGGCCCAAGGGTGTCCCAAGGTCGCCCCAAGATCGCCCAAGAGGCCCCCAAGATGACCCTATGACGGCCAAAAGGCCCCCAAGACGGCCCCAAGGGGGCCCAAAGGTGGCCCAAGAGGGTTCCAATACGCCGAAAATTGTATCCAAAACGGCCATGGAACACCCCAATAGGGCTCCGAGTCGGCTCAGAAAGGCCCCCAGGACTGCTTCCGACGGCGTCAGACGGGCTAGAGACGCCCTGAGACGGCCAAGAAGGCCCCCAAGGAATCCCTGAAGGCCCCCCAAGAGGCCTGTCGAAGCCCGAGCGGTAGTGAGGGGGTCCTCCGGACCCTCTGGAAAGAGTGAGGGCTAGCTTGTTCTCCTCTCGCGGGTGCCCCACCGCGAGTCTCCAAGCTAGTTAGTGCCCAAACGGCAGCGGAGTGAGGCAATACGCACTGAATCAACACTCCCACAACTTAAAAGTTGCCTCAACTCCGACTTTGGGCTCCGCTTTGGCTGAAACCCTCTTCACATCGCACAGACCATTGTCCAGAGCACGGCGCACGGGAGGCTAAAGCCACTCAGATGTCGGTCTCCTAGGGGGGCCTGTCCTCTGAGGCTGCCGCCTTCGAGGTGGGAGCTCCCACTCGGCTCGAACCCGCCGCTCTCGACGAAGCGGGCATCCAGCTCCCCAGGGACATAGCATCATCGGCACCAGAGCTCTCCTCCACCGCCACGATCGGAGCATGGTCAAACACACCTGTCTGCTTCCATGACTCCGGATCCTCTTTGTTCAACATCTCTGGCTGCAGACCACACTCCTCAACTAAGAACGCCGATCCCGCTGTGGAACTCCAACTCCCTGGGCAGATCTACGTAGTGTCCGAGATGGCCGGCAGCTGTGCTGCGCCCCGCCAGCCCCCGTGCTGGCAGGGCCGCCCTGGCTCTCCGAGTAGCCCGCCGAGAACTCGTCCCAGGCCGGGAGGCGGAAGGAGTTCACCGCGATCGATCCTCCAGGCGGGGCTGGTGGCACCTGGTCGTTTTTTCAGCGCCATGTGGTAGAGGCCCTCGAGCACCTTCAGGCGGTCGCGCATGCCGTCCTCGAGCGCCGCCGGCGAGTGTAACGCGATGCACCCCGCGCTGGCGTGGCGCACCAGCGCGATCTGCGAGACGCTCTGCTTGCCCGACAGGCGGTCGTCCAGGGCCCCCGCGCGGATCTGCACCTTGACCTCGTTGCTGGAGCCCTCGATGTTGCCCTCGCCAGCCTCCGCCAGACCCTCCAAGAAACTCCTCGCGCCACTCGCCAAGTTCTTCGCCTCGATCTTCACCATCTGCTCGCAAGCTCTTCGCGGGCGGTGGGGCCGCGAACTGCTTCCGCAAGGCATGCCCCGCCGATGCTTGAGCCAAGACACTGCTCTCATCGGCGAGCTGGTAGGTCCCGTGGCGGACGCAGCTTCGGAAGAGATCGGCGGGCTCCGCCTTATCCTTCGTGAGACAATCCGCCAGCATCAGAAACGTGGGGCCCCAGCGCAGCACGGCCCCAAGACGTGCCAGACTCTCCTTACTTATGGCGCTATCTACTGCACACCTCTTATCGTCGATCCCAGACGGGCCCCCCATCTTGCACGCGTTGTCATAGATACTCTTGCAGTCGATGACCGCCAGACTCTTAAACTTACTCAGATGCTTGGCCCTATCACCAAGAGTGAAGCCTCGAAAGAACCCCATGGCGAAGAAGCACATGACCCACTCCAAATGTCCGAGACCGTCGGTCATCACAGACGACTCCCCCGCCAACGTAGACTTGACCACCGGCTTCACCCGATAACTCCTCCAGATCAAGGGGCTCCACGGGAAACCCTGCCTAGCTCCATGTCCCTGTTAGTCGCCCCGATGATGTAGCCCCCCTGCGTGTGGCCCATGTTGGACATTTCTTTCGAATAGTAGTCTGAGTGGAGGATGGAGGGAAGCTCGGCGATCGGGATCGAGGGGTATCGGACCTCGAGGTCTGCAAACTGCTGAGCACGACGAGCCAACATATTTCCTTTCCTGATATCGCCGACGGTGGGGTGGGGCATCTTCTGTTGGTTCGAGATCACGAGGATGCTGAGGTCTGGCCGGGTCTGGGTCGCCAGCCAGTCCCCCCGCTGGTTGAGGTAGATGAAATCTTTTATTTCTGACGGGACCGCCAGAGCGTCAGCACTTGAATGTCGGCGGGTCGACACCCGCTCCATCTCCTCAGACGCGTGCTGATGCTGCGTCTGCACGATGATGTAGTCGGGAAGCTGCCGCAGCCGGGGCCCGACGAATTCGGCCTCCTTCTCGTGCCACTTGCGGCAGGGAAAGGGGCTCCTCAGCTGCGACAAAGCCTCGGCCCACTTGGATCCCCAGCCGCCGAACACACCGTCGTCCACGTGTTGGCCGATGACCCCGCACAGGTCGCCAGGCCTGGCCGCTCGAAGGGGCTCTGCTCCCTGGCCGTCGATGACACGGTAGTCGTCGAGGTCGAACTCCACGGAGTCGCCGACATCCTCGAACAGCAACAGCACGCACGGGCCCATGGGATGCTTCACGAAACCCAGCTCCTCGACCAGGAACTTGCTGAAGGTCAGCCACCACAGCTGAGGCTGATCGCTCCTGCCGTAGCCGTTGAGGACCTCGCAGAGCTGATCTCCGTGCATCCAGTCCGGCAGGAACTCCGACGTAGCGAAACGTAGATCGCGCCGTGCTCTGCCGGCGCCAGCGACGCGTCCGCCTCGAGGAAGGCCCCCTCCACGCCCCCGATGGCCAGGGGAAGCTTGGCGGAAGCGATGGTCTGGAGGACGAACGCCCTCCCGTTTGAGGACAGCGTCGGGGCCTGAGTGCGGCCCGCCTTCACCAACTCCAGGAGATCTGGGTCCTTGAGCCCTTGGATGGTCATCCTACACTTAACTGCATCGTTGCCCTCCTCGTCCTCCTTCTCCGTCAGGACCGGTCGGGGCTTCATGATGCGATCAGGCTGGGTAGACCGCACCCTCCTCAACTCCGCAAGCGGGAGGGGACGCAAAGCCTGGGTCTTCTCGATCAGCTTACTGTACTCCTTGGCGTCGCCCTGTGCGATCTTGGCCAACCCATCCTTCGAGCACCAGCGCGGTTCCCGCCTGTCAAGCTCTTGCCTGCCGCTGGCCAGCATGACCTCCTCTATGTCCACCGCCAAGATCTCGACGTCGTCATCGCTGTCGGGCGAGGCCGTAACTGCCATAACTGACTGCACACGCTGCTGCTTGGATCGTCCAGGCCGGCGAGCTGACGGGCTTCGCTTGAGGGCTGAACTCGTCCTCGCAGCCTGGGGGTCCAGGTCCACGCTCCCAGGGGGCATCGGCACCTCGCTCCCGACGCGGGGGCGCTTCGCCTCCTCCACATACGTCTTGCATCGCAGCCGCTCCCAAACCTCCGCCGGCTCGGAGTCGACAGGAGCTCCAGCAGACCCAGCACAGCCTTGATCGCCCTCCGTCTCCTCGTTAGGCCAGTCCCCCGGCGCATCCCCTGGGACCGGGATCTCCGCAGAGTCGGCAGCGTGCGGCTCGGCTTCGGCAGGTGGTGAGGCCTCGGGCTGTGGTGGGGCCTCTGGCGGTGCCGGCCGCGCGTCGCCTCCTGCTGTCTCTGGGGCGGACTCCTCCTCATCGGCGGCCTCCGGCGGCCGCGCGTCCGCGGTGATGTCCGAGTAGAACTTCGCCTTCATGTCGTCCAGGTCGACGGTGTGAGTCCGTAGCGACGACTCCACTAGGCGCAGCGCTGCCCTCTCCTCCGAGTTGGCCGGGCGCAGCTGCTCTGGAGAGGCCTTCAGCACGCTGCCCGGCACGGCAATCCAATAGTTGCCGCGGACCGCGCCCATGCACGCGCCAGGCCTCCAACGATAGTGGGCGCGTCGCCCAGCCACCTTCCTCGCATTGCGCCAGACCGCCACCGTGTCGCCAGGCTGGTACTTCACAAGTTTACGGGGCCGCGCGTCCACGGCCAGGCGGGTCGCCTGCTTGTCGTTGTAGCTCAGAACCTGTCGCCTGGCCACCGCTCGGACTCGAGCAGCAAACGCCGCCGGCGGGTCGTGCAGGACTGCGCCGTTCGCCACGATGTCCGGCGAGTCCACCGGCAGGTCCTCTGGCGCCTCGGGGTTCCGCCCGAAAGCGATCTGGGCCGGGCTGGCCCCGCCGACGCTTAGGAGAGAGTTCTTGGCCTCCTGCGCCTGCGCCACGCATTCGCGCCACTCCCCGCGGTCCTGAGGCTGGACCTCGGCGATCGCGGCGCGCAGCATCTGAGCGAACCACTGCCCATGCCGCTCCACCTTCCCGCTCTGCTCCTTGGCGCTGCTGGCCGCGTCCAGGATCGTAGCCCCGCCCCGCTCCATCGCACTCGCGAAGACCTTGGACACGCGGGGCTTCGCCGGGCCAAGGCGGATCCACTTCGGGCGCAGGTGGGGCCGAGTCCAATTGTCTCGGCACAGTCGGCCGCCACCTCGCCATCGCCCTCATCGAACGGAGTCATGGACTGCAGCGACGATGTATCGCACACGATGTTGAGTGCCTTGACGATCCGATCGGGCATCCAGCCCGGGAGCTCCTTCACGCCCATGCCGATGGATCTCAAAGGGGGCCGCGCAGTGTCCGGTGCAGCTGGGCGAGCCGCCCTCGGGTCAGCCTTGACGTCGCACTCTGGGCAGCGAAACTCCGCGGCCATCTTCAGGGCAGCCTCGGTCGCATTCGCATGGCGTAGATGTCTCATCATGGTCGGCACTGGGACGTGGCCGAGATTGACGTGTAGACGGCGCAAGCCAGCCTCGACGGTCTGCGGCCGGCCATGGTACAGGTCGTCCCGGGTGAGGCGCTCCTTACCCTCGGTGTCCGCCTCCTCGTCCTCCCCATGGTCGCCGACCCCCATGGCCTCCGCCTCGTGGCGGCCGTCTGGCGGGCGTGGCTCTGGTTCTCCATTCTGGCCCGGCAGGCGCCTCTCACCAACGCCTTCGCCAGTCTGTCCGGGTGGATCTGGGGCCAGACCGAACGCTTCATGCCGCCAGCGCTTCCCATCACGTCCTGGTGCTCGTGACCGCCTCGGCACTGGCGGCCCACCTCCTCGGCCACCTCTGGGAGGTCCGAGGCGAAGCGCCAGACCTTGGCGAGGGGCGCCCCTGACACCCGGTCCAGCTTGCCAAACCTGCACGCCGCTGCCTCCGCGATGAAGGGGGGCAACTCCGTCAGGAAATAAGTCATCTCCTTCAAGCCCCATGCCGAACTCCCTCGGGATTGCTCGAGTATGAAATGCTTCCCGCACATCATCTGCCACTCCGCAATCACCAGGCACAAGACAATAAAAGAGACAGCCTCCTGAACCTCTTGCTCAAACCTCTCAGGGCCCTTGCGTCTGTCCACGGGCGTGAGAGCCTGCAGCGGCGACAGCTTGCCACGGGGGGGACTGCGCGAAACGAAGAACGGATCCTTGGTCTCCAGGTCGCAGAAAAGCCGGGAGACGCCCTCGCGCTGGCGAGCATCCCAACCTGTCTGCAAATCGTACGCTCCGCCATCCTCAAACCCAAACTCCTCGGCCCACTTGGTCAGCCTCGGGGGAGCGAACACCTCCATGATGGCGGGTCTCCGCGAACTTGCTTGGCTCACCACGCACATCTCATCCATGGCCTCAGGGCTACGGCCCGGCCCTACTGAATATCCTTGTTCGCGATGGGGACCGCTGATGAACCGTCGAGCAGCACCTCGCAGTGGCCCCCGCGGGTCGTCTGGAGCAGCACGCGGACGCCCAGCTTCGGGAACGCCAGCTCGTCATTCTCCATATCCAGCGTGCATCCCAGCTTCTTCAGGAGGGGCTTGCTCAGAAGGGGGCCCGCCTTGCCCGGGGCCACGTGCACGTCGACCATCCCGCGGTGGCTGCCGAGCCTCCACGGGATCTTGCAGACGCCGATGGAATACTGCTCATCACCGCTGAACCCCTTGAACGTGACCACTTTGTGGTCCTCGTCGATCTCGAGGTCGTTCCCGGACGTCTTGATCAGCTCGCTAAGCGTGTCCAAGCCAATCAGGGCCCTCGCGCAACCTGGGTCGATCACCCCGGCGCCCGGTGAGTGCACCATGAACGTCTCCGCCGCGTCGTCGTCGTCGGCGTTCCCGTCGTCGTAATCGGCGATCTCGTCCACCTCCTTGCGCCGACGCGTGAAATGGTCCTCGGTCAGCGGCTCTCCGTGGCCCCTGTCGTCCCAGGTCGCCAGGATCTCCTCGATCTCACTCCAGGGGTCGGTCTCTTTTTCTCCAGCGAAGAAGCTCTCGACGAAGCCAACCCCGAACTTCTGGCCGAAGCGACCCTTGCCGCCACTCTTGCCAGCTCGTTTCGGGCACTCCTTGGTGAAGTGACCCACCTGCTTACATGCCCAGCAGCGGACCCGAGCGGATGACTTCTTCAGATCAGGCGCGTGTGGAGGTGGCAGCCCGCGCTTCTTCCGCTCCTCGGCGACCGCCACTCGGATCTCCTTCCACGTCGCCAGCACCTGGATGGCCTCATCCTCCTCCATGGGTTCCTCACGATCTTGCTCGACCTCCGCCAGGAACGCATCCACCTCCTCCTGGGAGCTAGCCGCGGGATGATGCTCTTCACCCGCAGCCTCCCACACGTAGTCGTCCTCCACCAGGTGCACGCCGTGCTCGGGCAGCACCTTCGGGTAGACCGTCTTCAGTGCCAGGGCCAGCTTCTCGAACGTCCAGTGCCTCTCGCTGGCCGCGAGGACGACGGCGCGCCGGTCGCCTCCGAAGCGGGCGCCCCGAAGAAGGAGAAATCCTTGAGCGACATCAGGGATTTCCACGCCCTCCTTTTTGGCCTTCATGAATATCGTCTGGGCCCGCCCCACGTACGCACTGGTGAGCTCCGCCTTCTCGATCTTCAGACCGAACACGGACCCCAGCGCGTCTCCCACTCGGTCGGCCGCCTCTCGCTCTGGGTATCGTGCGTCTCAGACGGCGAACAGCTTCTCTTCACCGCCGTCGACTGCCAACTCGTCCAGTTCCACATGCTCCAGAGCGTCCACGGCCGTTCCCTCCAAGAGGGTGTACAACATGGGGCCGAAAGTCTCAGACTTGCCTCCGCGCCCATTTTCCGCCAGCAATCTTGCTCGTGCCCATTTCTTCCAAGCCTTGTAATCCTGGACTGCAGCTGCTCCTTCTCCGGAGAATCGGCGGTCACGAATGCTGCTCCCTCCAGCGCTGCCTCCGTCCGCCATGGCTGTACTCAGGGCTGGTGGCTCAAGCTAGTGTCGAAGCCCGAGCAGTAGTGATGGGGGTCCTCCGGACCCTCTGGAAAGAGTGAGAGCTAGCTTGTTCTCCTCTCGCGGGTGCCCCACCGCGAGTCTCCAAGCTAGCTAGTGCCCTAACGGCAGCGGAGTGAGGCAATACGCACTGAATCAACAAGGCCCGAGGAGGCCCCCCAGAGGCCTCCAAGAGGCCATCGGGAAGCTCCCAGGAGGCCGCAAGAGTGCCTCGAGAGTCTCCCTAGAGGTCTCCTCCTCCTACTCCTCCTCTTCCTCCTCGTCTTCCTCTCTGTCCTGATCCTCCCTCTCATCCTCCCCCAGATATCCCCCAAGAATTTGCAAGCCGACTGGGGGAACACATAGTCCGACAGTTTGGCCGAGCTGAGGCCCAACGTCTGGCCACAGAGGCGTTTCCAAAATGCAAGGGGCGGCGGTGATTCGCCGTACAGTAGGCGTCTTCGATCAGAAGAGACAGCCATGAAAGCCTAGAAGATATCGTGGCCCCCGAACCCCATAAGCTCTCGGCTGGCCATGAAACTAGTCATTCCCCTCCCTTCCCTTCTCCTCATCATCATCGCCATCAGGCATCCTCATCCTCCCCCGATGATCAGCGGTGGCCGCCGCCAGGGGAGAATGACTTTCCCAATATTGCTGCGGGTCCCACTCCGTCCACAAGACCGCGCAGAAAAATAGCCAGTTTCCCGTCGCTGGACGGGGGAATGGAAAGACCCTCTGAGGTGATCCACTCCCTGCAATCACCACCGCCATCGACACTCGAGGGACCTTGGGCGCCCGAGTTATCCGGGGTAACTCGGGTCCGGGGTAACTCGGGTTTGGGTTCCCGAAAAACGAACCCGAGTTATCCCTGACCCGAGTTATCCCTGATGATTCGGGGCTCTGGACGCCCGAGTTATCCGGGGTAACTCGGGTCCGGGGTAACTCGGGTTCGGGTTCCCGAAAAAGGAACCCGAGTTATCCCTGACCCGAGTTACCCCTGATGACTCGGGGCTCTGAAGACCTGCGCTCGCAACTGGGGGGGGAGGCTGCTCGGTTGGGACTCGCCGGCGCGCACAACGGGGCTCGGCACTGTGCGAGCGGAGCCAAGCCTGCTGACCCCGGCGGCTCCCTGCGGACGGGCGGGGCCACGGCCGCAGACGACGAGGGGAAGGGGGGGTGGGCAGGACGATGGAGAAGGGCCGCGCGGAGGAGGGCGAAATGGGAGAGGAAGAGGGCGAGAGGCGAGAGGGCAGCTCGGCTCAAGGCCACGGGACAGGGTGGCCAGGCGCGGCCGGGGGGGCACTGAAAGGGAGCACACGAAGCCGAATCTCAGCCAGGGCAGTAGCCCGTGCCATCCAGGCCCAGATCTCGACGGCCCAATCTGCGACGCTAGTGCTCTCTGAGATGCTGACTTCCATTGGCCCACTGGCGGAACGCAGTCTGAATGCAGACGCAATGAGCAACTTACAGACGGAATTCGGGAAAAATGTTCGGGTGAACAAAAAACCGGAACATCTGTGAAAAGGGATGCGATTTGTCAGGGTCCGCCAGATGCCAGCATAGACGTATCGGGGCAAGCGCGCGGCACTTGTTTCGCAATTATGACCACACTAACGCGGTGGGCATGCTGAGCTTGCTCAACAGAGACATGCCCTTGAAACCGCGGGCTCGAAGAGAGGTGCGGTGTGCGCGTGGAAATGTCGTGGCCACGTAGTCTGCACACCCCATCTTGCCCCAGCTGGCATTCGACTTCGAACTTGCATGTTGAATGAACTCAAATACGCGCTGTTAACCCTGGGCATGCCGAGTAGCATGGAAGGTGATTGACCCAGGACTCCTGCTACAAGTAGCTTCGAGGAGCCAAAGCCAGACGCACGTATGCGCGTTACCAAGGCCACGCGCCCGATGACAGTCGCACACAAACGCCGCTCCACGCCAAAAAAAGACGGCTCGGCCCACGCAACTCAACCTCACACCGCGCGCATGTAAACCATCTCGGGGGAAAACGCACATGTCGTTGCGTCCATGCCAATGTTCCTCCCTCTCCGCCTCCTCCGCCATGCCTCTTTCCCGCCGCGTGCGCCAACGAGGGGTGCCAGGAAGAGGAAGGGAGGAGAAGGCGGAGGAGGAAGAGGAGGAGGAGGAAGAGGAGGAAGGAGCAGGAGGAGGAGGACGAGGGAGGAGGAGGAAGGAGGAGGAGGAGAAGAAGCGCATCACGGCCCGCGGCCTGTGCGCGGACGTGGGTGTGCCATGAGATGACTGCCCAGCCGTTATCCCCGTGCCTGGTCCTGACGCCCCTCGTGCTTGGACGGCAGACAGGGGTACAGCAACAATGGGTATTTTTTTCGCTCGCGACCGCCATGGAGCAACCGCGCGCCGTCAAAGAACGAAGGAACAGCGCCACAATCTAAATCAGGCACCAAGCGCGCAGGAGCGAACTACGCTGCGACTCAGTAGGCGAAGAGGGCGCTGAGGATCAGGTCCACGTGGGACGCCAATGCCGACAAGCAAGACCATGAGGTGCTAAGCAACAGTGGGCACGCTGCCCAACAGGGAATTGCTGCCCAACACCGACAGCGGCCGCCGTTGGACTGGCGGACTCCTGCCTTGAAAGGACAACGCCCGCGGCGACACCGACAACGCGTCCTGGTCAAGATGAGCAAGGCATGATGTCGGCCTTCGTACACACAATGATTTCCGTGCCCATTTCGATCGTACCGATGTTGGGTGCCCCTGGCATCATTATGATCAACCTGCTGCTCCTCATCGCCCCCCGTGCGTTCTTGGCGGCGCGCCGACGCTTGCGAGGCGAAGGCGGCGGCTCTCTACGAGGGCACAGGGGCTTCGGGGGGGCCTCCCAGAAGGGACGGACCTCTTCTAGGATCAGAAGCTTCCAAGATGGCTTGGTGGAAGGCAGGAGACAGAAGGCGACGAGATCTTTGTATATCCACTGTCCCTGGCCCGGCCCATCCTGAAACCAGGAGCGGCCTGCACTTCAGTACTAGGGAAACAAACAAGGACCAATCTCATGAATTGAAAACTCGGAGGCCCGTGCGGATGTCTCGGATCGGCGATGGGATCCCCCTCCCTTGCGTTGCGAGCGCGCTAGGGGCGGCGCTGGAGGCACCACCATGGGGGGGCTCAGCACCGATCTAAGAAATCCTCGCGGACCTCCGACATATTATTAGATTATGATTATGCGCACTTTTCTTCTTCGACTGCTGTGCCGAAAGCGGCCCTTACTTCGGCGTATGAGGGCGGGCAGCTTCCAAAATGTGGCTCTCGCCTCAGCGCCGCGCGCACGCGTTAAACAAATGCACGGGCTTCGCGGAATGAGGGCGGGTGGTTTCCAACATGCGGCTCTTGCCTCAACGCCGCGCATAGTCGTCTTAAAAAATTCAAGAGTTTACCAGATGGAGGGCGGTTCCTTTTCACAAGGGTGCTCTCGCAGTAACGCCGCGCAAAGTCGTCTTGAACATGCAAGGGTTGCGCGGAATCGCATAGTGAACGTAACAGGGATTCTTTGGAACGACTGAGGGTTGTTAGGGCGCAGCAGTTACGTTAATTCGCAGCGCTGGAAGCCCAGGACTGGCGATCTGCCAAAACTCAGGGCCGTCACAACGCAACAATCCTGTAGAGTCATACCTCGGGTCTCTGGCGGCCGTCCGGGACGACACGGGCAACCCCAGACGCCTCTCTGCGAGACGCAGCTGCTGAAACGCGTGCCGAGGCAGGAAAACCCCCAGGAGCCGGCGGCGACGTTCAAAAACGCCAGCGGGTGACGAGAACGTGGCGTATCCCCCTCCTGACGTTGCCCCTGCAGCGAGGAGGGTGCGGGACGGACCCGCCCCGGGCGCGGCGGCCGGGGCCTCGTCCGCCCCCACGGCGCCCCGCACGTAGACGCCACGCAGCGGGATCTGCAGGCCCTCGCCGCAGCCGGCGCGCGGCCGCGGCGCTCGGGCAGTTTCTCGGGCGTCGCGTCATGGCCAAGCCAATCTCGGCCAGCTGAGCTCGACCAGCTGGACTCGGCTGGGCTGACTCCGGCCAGGCCAAGCTTGGCCAAGCTGAATTCGGCCCAGGCCGAGTTTTGCGGGAGCAGCAAGCGACCACCACCACATCGAGGCCACACTCGGGGGGACGGCTTGCGCATGCCAAACATTCTCGGAAGACCGAAATTAGCTTCGTACTGGTTGTGGTCGATATGGCGCCCTAGTGTTGCCAAACCGACCACAACCACAACCAACGTGCTCATGTCGAGGTCGGCGGGTTCTTCCCCGAGGGGTCCTCCCGAAAAATCCGATTGGTTGAGGTTGTGTTTCTGTGCCCGGAAGTGTAGCCTCGTGGAGTTCAGCTGGCCGAGCGCAGTCTGGCAGAGTCTCTCCCTCAATCGAGGGTTGCAGGACGGAGGCCTTGAAAGGGCCCTACAGAGGCCGCCTCTGGCCCCGAGGCCGCACGAAGGGTGCACCCCCATTCCCCCCCCTGCATTTTTCGAAGACCAAGCCAGGACGAGGATAACATCGGGTGATGACAAATCGAGAAGCTCTGAGATCCAGCGGCTCTGGAAGCTGTCTCGAGCGTCGCGGCCTTCTCAGAGCGCACCGTATCGCTCTGAGAGCGTTCCTGAAGGCCGTGAAACGCACCGATCCTCGTCCGAGTTCCGAGGTGACCCCGAGATCCGGACGTCGGGGCCCTTCACCCTTCCGCCCATTGTCGGGATCCGGTGCCCCCGATATCCGGTGATGTGGGCTCCTCAGTCCTGCCAGTCTGAAGGGGGACTGGAACACACAAATAAATACACACAAATAAAACAAATC